GGTTAAAAGTGCATTTTTATATTTTAAAAATAGTTTGGCAGATTTTACTTTGCATGATTTTTCAAACACCCTTACCTTCTAAACAGTTTCATTTTTCATCTTGTGTTTTGGTTGCTCAAATTAATCTGATTGGTAAATATTTGTTTTTGTAGGATGCTTGGTGTATTTAATCATTTTATCGTGATTGAATAGTTTGTGGTCTCTTTTTTTTTTCTTGGATGGGCATGGAACATGATGATGCACCTAGAAAAAAAACAGCATCATAAAAAGCAAGAAACACAGCAAATGGCTCAGAGAGAAATTGTGGAGACATTTAAAGCAGAGTGGGGTTATTAAACAATATACTTAACTTTAAATTCTCACAGATCTGTTTATTCCATTGGATTCAGTCTGAAATTAAATCACAATATGGCATAGAGATCAGCAGCTTAGGTGAGAGAATCTGCTGATATGACAATTATTAGGATCAAGACAAAGAAATCTTTGTTGAAGGAAAGATATCAAGCTATGAAATGCCTGTTTGCAGTTTGTCAGAAGCCCTGTAGGCAACACAGAAAGCATTTGTTTAAATGAGACCAAAACTGTTCTTTTTAGCCTTGTTGCAAACCTCATAAAAGCTAACATTTCGCTTTGCCTTGAATGCATGATTCACATCTTAAAGCATGGTGGTGGCAGCATCACGCTGCAGGTATGTTGTTCTTTGGTGGTGATAGGGAACCTGATAAAAGTTGTTTCAAGGTTAATGTAGTTAAATCCACAACAATCCTATCAGAAGCTGTAGGAGACATAAGCCAGGCTTACACAGTACTATTTTTGCCCATTTCGGACCGATTCTCTAGGTCTCCAGTCCCGACCTTCTGATCAGGAATCAGAAGGTCGGGACGTTTGAAATTCAGTCTGCCCTCATTAGGTATTCGCGGGCAAATCCTGCTTTTGAAGCAGAGCTATGAGCCGATTTACAAGAACCTTGAGCACTGCGGATATGCAAACAAGGGAGTAGTTCTTCTTCCAGATTGACAAGTCTGACCAGCGCCATCTCTCGGTGCTCACTCCAACATGTGGTTTTTGGACGTGCAGTTTGAGCAAGTAGATCGTATCAGAGCGTCGGGCCGCACAGTGTGAGAAAATGCATTGTGAGCTGTGAACTCTTAAACCCTGCGATGCCATCGTACAGTTTGAGCTGTTATAATCCATTCAAAGTCCAGACCTAGATCCAATTGAGAATCTGTGGCATTCCTTGAAAGTTACTGTTCCCATATGCTCTCCATCCAGTTTGAGAAATGCATAAATAAGTTCCCAAATAAGTAGAGAAATGCACCCAAAGGATTTGCAGCTGTACTTGCAGGCAGGGTTGGGTCTACAAACTATTGAAGAAATACACATTTCTTCATTTTTTTTAGATGCATTTGAAAGCAGCATATCAGTTTACAAATATGGTCTACATGTTGTGGGCCTGGCACATAAAATCTTTAACTGTTTATAAATGCTTTTGCAAACCACTACTGCTTCTAAAGACTAATTAGATTCTGCTTTAATTTCCTTTAAATTATTTCATACTTAAAAGTAATAATAATTGGTGGACCTAGAGGAGAATTTATCTTATAAAAAGCTTCCTTTTAGCTCCCAGTTGGCGTCACCCCTTTTTCATCCTCCTCCTCCATTTTCTTCCTCTGAATTTTCCTCTCTTTTATCCTTTGCAGTTATTTTTTTCTCTGTCCTTTTTTTTTTTTACTCTCTTGCAAGGCCAGTCGCTTCACATCTCAAGGTTTCAAGGTTTCCTTTTATGCCTGAAGCGGCATTGTATTCTAATTACCAACAGTGCCTCCGGCTATGCTGTGGGCTACATGAAAAAATTAAAACATTATTACAATCCTACACCTGTCCACTGTTCTGCGGTCATAATGCCAAAAAATCCTAACCCTATATAGTGCATAGAAAGGTGGATTTTAAAGTCTGTGGGTCTCTAAAGATGCAAAACATGAAAACTGATCTCACAGCAGCATCCATGTAGAGCTGAAAAACATTTTTCTCTTTTTCTTCTCTTAGATGTTCACCCTTCTTCACCACTTCTAGCTCATTTTTCACAAGCCAACTTATCTTTGGCTGCCTTTCTCACACAGGTCCCCTTTAATTAATGAGAAGCAGCTGAAAAATGGTGGCCATTAGCAGCATTATGCTCCACAGCGGTGGTTGAATTTGAGTCTTTGAGACCAGGTGAGACTGCTCCTTCAGAAAAAAGACTGTTGGCTTAATATGCAATGACTTTAGTATCTTCTGCATTATCTTTGGCAACAACAAGCTGAATAAACATGGTGCCTGAGGCCATTTTTATCCTGCAAGTTCTTCCTCTAACGTAATTTGATTTTTTCTGAAAAGGGCTTCAGCTGGTTGCAATATGGATGTTTGAAACTCAGATCCAATTATGTCCGTGCGGATAGCCAAAGGTCCCAGTATGTCTGCAGTAAAAAGGATATGAGCTACTCTTCATTGCATTCTCTGTACAGAGTCAGGATTGTTGCTGGACATCCTTTTCTTCCAGACAGGGATTTTGCCCCAGTTTTTCCTCTGGCATGTGGAGTGACCTCACACTCCCTGCATGGGAAACATGGCAGCGATGCTGTGAAATGTCACGTTGGCACCCCTCACAAAGGCAGCGAGTTGCTGTGGGGTCTCATCCATGATGGTGGGAAACAAACTGGAACAAAAGTCACATTTAAAGGTCAGACCGCAACACTCATGAATACAGACCTGAGGGGCTGCATTCATTTTTAATATCAGAGGATTGCATTGGGATTGCTGTATATAGATTGAACGGGAAAAGGGGGAAAAATGACCACAGCACAACATGATATATTTGTTGCATCCTTGCAAAACATGAGGGTAAAAAATACAGTTTTTGATGAATGAATTGCATCATAAAACAATTAATCTAATAAAAAAATGGCTGTAATCTCACTGAAACATTTCACATTAGCATTTGAAAACAGGTTTGCCTAAAACATTCGCCTTGGTGTGCTCCTGCATCATGCAGGGATAATGCGGTTTGTGATCTTTCTTGGATTTCTCACCATCCAGGATTTTTCTTTACATTTTACCTCAGAGCAGAACGCTTTTAAAGTGAACAAATGGAAGGAGTACTGAGGAGGAATTTAACAATAGTGTGTTTAAAACAGAAGATGGAGAAACCTTTTTTGGATTATCCTCTATCTAACAGTTTATTAAGTTACAATTGTTTATTTGAAAATAAGAAAGTTAATTATCCAAATAGGGGAAAATGTATTTGTTTCAGTGACTAGATTGACGCACCTAGATTGGTGTCATTTTATTGAGAAAAAAGTATTAACTGTTCAATAAAAATGTGAAAGAAATCTAAAAGATGCTCTAAATAATAAACACTATAAAATAGTTCCATATAATATACGGACCAGGAACTCAGGAATAATGTTTTTGGAAAAGATTAGTTGAATGATGTGGATACCAGAACAGCTGACCTGTTCACCATGAGTAAAATTACTTGGGAATCTTATCAAAACAGAAACCGGTGAATTCTGAGATTTAGCAGAGGTTATGGGACCTTAAAAAAATAAAACAAAGCTGAATCAGAACTCAACCAAGAAATACAATGACAACTAAAAGGTTGTAGATAAAAAAAAAAAATAAAATAAAGTGTTCTAGGAACTTTTCTGGAACCTCTAAGGATGATTTCACAAAGCATAATTTTTCATAAAGTGAAGAAAATTATGGACAACATTTAGCATCCTCTTCAGAAGAAGGTTGAGTGTCTTCAGTCTTCAGAGTGGGTTGAACGTGCAAGTAACCCTTTAACATCTCACATCCAAAATGAGGAGTAGGACTGATGTCAGATGGTAGAAAACTACAGGAAGGGGGTAACATTGGCTCATGGGATGTCCTAACTTTTTTAGAACATGTTTTTATCTATTTTTTTTTATGTTTTATTAATCAAAACATCTTTCATAATTATTTCATTTGATATAGATATGTGCACATTAGTTTGAGAGAAATTAAACTTTATTGAGGTGATACTTTTTTCACATGGCGGCATGTTCCAACTATATGGACATGCTAAATAAAGTAAACACAGTAAAACATGTAATAGAAGTAAAGAATATTTTGTTCTTTATGCAGAAATTCATTCAATTAAAAAAGCTCACACTAAATAAATTAATTAAATCAAAGAAGCTGCACTAGATCAAATCTTGATGTATTAGTGATGGTTTGGACATTTTTTCTTAAACAATTTTCAATACAGTTTTATTATTCCTCAGTTAATTTGAATTAATTTGCTTTTTTAAAAATGTTCAGGAAGCGATGAATGTCATAGATTTATCAGTTCTCATCCTTGTGCTAATGGTTCACTTTGACGTTAATAGAAAGAATGCTTATTCTTGACATTTAATTATTAGTGGACTTTATTTTTGCATATCAGAATAGAGGGGGGCACAGGAAAGATGCATTGTACATTTTTACAAGCTCAAATCCTTTTTACACAATTCAAATTTTGATTGGTGCAGAACAAAAATGAGGAAACATTTATGTTTTTCCTTCCACATCACAATTGTTTACCGTTTGTGATGTAATAAAAATACATACATCTACATACAAAATACATCTTTACAAGGCACTGTATGTAGCGAGCATTTAACGGTGCAGATGTCATTCCCAGGGGTATGCAAAAAAAAAAAAATATCCCCCCAAAAAATAAAAAATACTAGCTACAGGAATCCACACCCGACTGCTGCAAGAATGACTGGTTACAAAGACACTGGGAGCTTCAGCCTTAATGTTTTAATGCGAATAGGTTGTTCTGCTTTTCAGGTGTAAACTGGAGTTTAATAAACCCATAACAAATACCATGTTTTTAAATTGAAAGATGCAACATTTGAATTTTTATTTTGTATTTTTCACTTTTTTAGAATTAATTGAACTCTTTTTACCTTTTAATTTGTTTGAATTTTTTTTTTTACTATTTTACATTTTTAATAATTATTTAGTTTGACATCTTCTTTCGTAATTTTAATCTGAATTAGAGCACCTGAAATGTACCTGAACACTGTTGAATAAATGAGAGAAAATATATTTTTTTAAACTAAGCAGACCAAGTTTTTTTATTTTATTTTATTACTGCATGTACAATATAATGTGCAACGCCCCCAAATTCCCTCTGTAATTAGAACACAAGTAAGTACATAGCACTTCAGATTATTTTATTATGCAATTTTCTATTTTAAAGCACTTGTGGTCTGAGACAATTTGTCATATCAGTGCATCAGTCTTTTTGTATTTTGTATTTATTTATGCCCAGATTTTCAGTTTAAATGAGGAAAAACCAAAGATTCTTGCATTTCATTGTGCTTGATTTCCTTAGACAAATGAAGTCAAAGACAGGATTTCAAATCTAAAACTATTAATTTATTCTCATCACTCACTTTGCTGTTTTTATTTCTTAAACCTGTCTGATTCTGTCCTTTTTCATGTAAAATCCTTGACAAAAAATAGCTTCAGTTGCTATAGTGGCTTCCATGGTATGATAGCACAGGCACAAAGAAAAATTTAAAGCAGAGTTTTGCAAAAAAAAACTGACAAAATAAGAGCTCTATGGGACTCCATTCTTGTTTTTTTTTGCCATATTTCTCTTACTGCAGTGTCAGTGTTTGACAAGAACTCACAGATAAATTATAAAAGTTTATGTGCAGTGGAGCTCATGTCCATTAGCAGACACAGATCAGGCTATCAGCAGGCTCTGCTGCTACATGAGCACACAGCTTTTGGCTCGGTCTTTCCTAATGGCAGGCGGGTCCCCGAGCATCTCAGTCCGAGGAGGCTGCTGTGAGGTCCGCTTGTTGGTGCGACGTGTGGTCACAGATTTGAGCTGAGGCCGATGGACGTTGAACACAGAGGCCAGCGTGGTGATGTGGAACACATCGCGGACGCTGTTTTCAGAATACTTCGAAGTGCACTCAGTATAGGCCACGGCGCCAATCTCCCTCGCCAAATTGGTGCCCTAAACACACAGAACATAAATATGTTACAAAACACAGATATACAGAAACTGAAACCTGGAAAAAAGAAAAAAACACAAAGAAGAAAAAGAACATAGGGAGGAATAAAAGTAGGAGTTATAAAAAAAAAAAAAGGACACAAGGATGGAAGGAAGGAGGGGATGAAGGAAAAGAGGAAAGGACGTAGGAGGTAGGAAAGGAGACATGAAAACCAAGGACACCACTAAGGAAGGACACAGATCAGAAAGAAGTACACAAGAAAAAAAAAAGGAAATGATAAACATGAGGAAGGAAAGAAGCAAGGAAATGAGAATAAAACGGAAGAGAAAGATGAAGGAAGTATAGTAGGAATAAAGGAGGGATAAAAACAGAAGTCAGGAAGAATGAAACACTATGAGAATATAGTCTAGAAGGATTCTGGAAAGCTACAATTTCCATAATCTTTTTCTTAAAACATTCCCAAACTTTTCAGGTCTTTAAAATCCCTAAATCAAATTCCAAAATTTTCAGAATCTTTAAGAAAGGCTAAATATTGATAGTTTCAGACATGCAATCCACCAGTATTCATTTATACACTTTGCTCGGTTTGTACAACTCCTTATGGTCACAAAGGGAAAACACAAACACAGCATCTTTAATCCCTGCACCATAAAATTGATAGTTGTGTTGATTTATTTCATATTAGATCATCCATGCATTGTTTGGTGGTTATGAGATTGTAATGTTTGGTCAAACAGAGAGAAAATCACATTGCAGTTGAACTAATAAAAGCCTGATAGCTTGTTTGAGGCGAAGGGGGAAAAAATCCCTACGGCAATAAAATATTTAAGGTTTTTGCAACCGTAAAACGGAAACATAATGCTCTGGTTAATAATGGTGGTGTTAAACACCACCTCACATTTAACTCCAAACGTTTTTATTATCAAGAGTAGGTCAACTTTTTTACAGGCTAGAGGCAGATTCTTTAAAGGGTTGCACTTTGTTTTAGGTGATAAGCGAACCTGTATTAGCATTAATTTCCACTGAGCAAACACTTTATAGAACAACCTTTTACTTTTCTTACAGCTGCAGGTATTTGGGGGTACAGCTTTGCAAATATGAAGGCAGAAATGTTTTTGTTCATTCTTTTTTTTTTTATTACATTACGCTTAGTTAGATTAGATGGAGACCATCTGTTGACAGCTAATTTCAAGTCTTGATATAGATTTGCAATTTAATATAAAGGCCCATTTTGATAGGACTGTTCCAGTCCTTACATATCCTCTGTCTTAGCCCCAGTCTCAAAACCTTTGCAGCCATGAAAGATTTTCTTTTTTCAGTTGCCCTGTATTTAAGCTCAGTCTATCTTCCAATTTAATAAAACCAGCTGAAGTAACAGGATGTTTTCACACTTGGGATGGCATGTTTAGAGTTGGTTTTCCAACAGAGAATGTTGCTTTAGTGCAGAAATATCTAATTTAGTCCCCACCTAAACACATCACCTCCTTCCTTATTTATTCATTTAATACAGGAACCCAATTCCCCTTTAATTAGCAAATAGTATTTGTAAACAGCAGATTTCACATGCGGACTAATTTCCATCTACTTGTTCCTTTGCAAATTGAAATTTGCATATACATAATGCACTTAGCATATACGTAATGTTGATAAATATTGCGATGCTGACATCAATTGCTGCATTTTCCTCTTTCCTTTCTGTCTCATTGTGGATTGCTGTGGACCTTTAGCATTTAGGGGAATGTCATTGGTGTGCAGAGTAAGCATCTGCTGCAGTGAGACTCTTAACTAATTGTTCCAATTAACATTTGGAAAATAACAGCCAAAAACTACTGCACTCTCATTTTTAATATGAATATTCCTCACAGTTATATCTAAATGATGGTATATTTGTGATATGCTGTACAGTCTACTGCTTTAGAAACACCCAATATATAGAGTGCACAGCTAGTTGACATGTCAGTGGTTTGTGCCACCTGAGCTGTGAGTCCAGAGTTACCATGGGCCTATTTTTTTTCGTTCATCTTCACGTTTGTCCTTCCAGTTTAAGCAGAAGGCTGGTTTGTAAGACAGCCATTTGCTTTCCGTAAAAAAAAAAAATTATTGAAGAGAAAATTGTTAGATGTTTGGATGAAGTTTTATAACCTAAACCTGCTTTTAGCTTCCCGGCTAACCTGACCTGTCTGCTGGGTAGAGATTCTTGCTTGAGTAAAATTTTGGCTCTACCTGCCACTGGTTTTCCTGATGCTGCCTAATAATCTCTACCAAACCTCTTAAAATACAATTAGATTTTATTTAGGCGAATACAAGTAAAGGGGGCTGAATACCTGAGCAAACAACGCACTTTAGATTTTTATCTTTAAAAAAAAACTTTGTTTTTCTTATAAAACTCTAACTTTCTCTGTCATGGTTTGTCAGATAAAACCCCAAATACAGCAACATTGGATTTCTGATAGAAATGTGTTAAAATGGTGAAAAGAAAAGTCAAATTAATTCCAGTTGTGTTTCTTTTCTTTTTTTTTTTCTTTATGCATTTGTTCCCTAAAGAATCCTTTAACGTATACATTTTGGCTCTTAATGTTATGATCTTACATTTTGGACTTTTTGGTGCTGTTTAAGTTTTCAATTTGGTTCTCAGCTATGCTTTATTTTATGCTATTCTATGTTTTTGTAAAGATTTATATCATTTTTTTAAATATATATATTTTAATCTTCCCTGTTATTCTGTTTTCAGCATTTTTGGTATCATTTATTCCTTGGTCTAGTTTTAGTGATAGTTATTCTTTTTCTTATGTTTAGCTTATGTTTTCCATGGCTTCAGTGATATCTGTCCCTTCTCTTATCCTCTAGTTTTACATGGTTATTCCTTATTTTGCAGTTAGTTTTATTCTCCTTTAGCCTTTTCTATTTACCTTTAGATCATGTTGTTTCCACTGGTTATTCTTTGTTGTCCTTTCCTTTCCCCTTAGCTCCTTCTAGTTACTTCTGTCTACACCTGCTCCCTATCAGCTAATTAGTCCTCCCATTGTTCTGTTTCCCATATATACAACTCCTGTTCAGTTAGTCATTTGTTGAGTTTGAGTTCATGAGCTGCATCCTCCGAAGGCCAGATTCATTGGCCGGTTATGTCATAGCGAAGAGCCAAGGTCTGTTCGGACTCCTCGTTATGCAGCCGATAAATGCATCCCCTTTTTTTGCCCGTTTAGGGCAAATATACACCGTATGTATCCTACGTAGCCTTGGATATCCTGTGATTCATTGTGAGTTAAAGCAAGCTGGCTGCTCTGTGCTCAAAGAAAAAAGGTAAATGGCGCCAAACAGTGGGGAATACTGTAAGAGCAGTTTAATATAATACCACTATGAGAATAGTTCTGTCTGAAATTAATGAAAGTAGCTTTTTAAATGGTTATTGGGTCAGATATGTGGCAGATAATATTTGTATTATTGAAATGTTTTATCTGTTCCTGTGCAAATGGATTTGGTTGACATTTAAGCACAGTTTCGAATATCTTTGTAGTTTTTGGGTTATGGATGTGTGATTTGCGTGGCCCGGTTTGTTGGGTATTCTGGTTAGTTTTTTTGGCGCCTGGAGCTGTTGTTCGGCCTTTTTTATCTATCTTTTGCGTGCTTTGTTTGTTCATTCTCGGGTTTGCTGCGTGAGTATATGTGAGGTGCATGTTACGTGCTGCTGTCCTTGTTTCTCTGAGTCTGTACTCTGTGTTTCTCCTTTTTTTCTTGGTCTTCGCCTGTTGTGGTCCATGTTGTGTGTTTGGTTTTATATTGCAGCTTTTGAACTTTATCTCACCCATTGCTGGATCATGATGGGGAAGATTTTCAGTCATAAAAAAGATTCTCAGTCGAAAAAAAGAAAATTAAAACAATCCACTGGACTCTGTTACCAAATTTGAAGACGTTTCGCTTCCCATCCAGGAAGATTTTTCAATTCAAATGAAGCAAAACATCTTCAGATTTGGAAACAGAGTCCAGTGTATTGTTTTAATTTCTATTGCTGGATCCTAGTAATTCCTTTGGATTATTCTTCTGTGTCTCCAAGTTTTTGATTCTGGTGTTATCTTTTTCTCGATTCCGGACTATGGATTCTGTATTTTTACATATTCTTTTATGTAAAATTTTGCAAGAAACCATTTCTGACTCTTCAGCATTTGGGTCCATAACAATATCAACCAACCTTGACAATTAGGACAACATAAGTGCATATTGATATAACATCAAGTCAAAACATTTGACCCAATTTCCTTCCAGATTTTGGAGACCAGAGCTGCATTTTGTCAAGAATGTTGTTTATCCAATTTAACTCCATGTATCATATAAATCTGTTAATATTAATGAAATAATAATAAACTTTCCGTTATAGCAGCTACAATTCTAGAAGATGTGATTTTTTTTTTTTGGTGTAATCTTAAAGCTGGAGTTCAGCTCATCGATTTCACAGAGCAGATCTGAAGTGCTCGACTCACCAAACTGAGCAAGCAAAGGTCCTTTATTTTTGTTTAGTGAGAAAAAAAATAATTAGTTGACAAAAGGCTGCCAAGATGTGTGATTTCACATTTACATGGAAATAGGCAATTAAAATTCACGTACGCCGCTGATCATTGCTCCGAGACGAAAACAAAACAATTGCTTTATCACACAACTGCTGTTTGTCTCCGTTTTTGTTCGATTCCAGCTCCTTCTATACTCGCTGAGTTTCTATATTTATGAAAGTTATGATGCGGAGCAAATACCACTCTTCAAATTAATTTTCAGAAGTTTTGGTTTGTGTACACTAGGGATGAAAGTAATTGCTCCTATTTGTTACTTTCCTCACAATTTTGGAAGTAAATCTGTGATAAAGGTGGTAATTGATTGTGGGTTTAATATTAGATGTAATAAAGAAGCTGAATATAACCAGACGCTGTTCAGGTTGTAATAAATAAATAAGTTGGGGTGCTGCACTCACCTGCTCGTGGGTAACGGGGATCTGTCTCTGTTTGGAAAGCTCTCTCATGACGCTGACGTCTGTCCTCATGTCCAGCTTGCAGCCAACCAAAACCACTTTGGCATTCGGGCAGAACTCCTTCTTCTCAGCTTGCCACTGTGTGCCAGATAGGAAAACATAAATCAGTGCACTCACCTTAAAAGGCGAATCAGTTATCCACTTTGGTTGGCATTTTATAGAAATATAATTCTAATTTGCTTGAACTCGTTTTCTAGATACTAGCCAGAAAAGTGTTTAATTTCAACAGCAACTGTTAAATTACATTAAAATGCAAATTTTTTACCTTAGAATTTGACAAAAATAAATTAGTTAATAAGAACAATTGAAATGTGTTCACTTGCAAACATAGAAAAGACACAAAGGACATGTTGAGGATATATAATATTTAAGCTCTTGGAGTAGCTTTAGTGCCATTTACACTACCTTTCTGAAATCGTGCCTAGAATGGTCTGAGCAAGGTACCCAAGATAACTGTAAACTGAGTGTAAATGGAACTGGGCCGTTCCAGACCCAAACGAACCGCCCTAAATCTAGTACTAGTTCAACAGTAGGGCTTTGTATGGTTCATCTGTGGCTCGGTTCTCTGATAACAAAGAGTGCCTGAGCAGAATGCGTCATCTCCTATTTACAGTCAGCTGACTCTTTTTGCAGGTTTTCAGGCTTGTCCTGCTTGCAATTCACAGATCTCTTTACCTGTTCACAACACAAACTTCTTCTCAGCCTATTAACAATAAATGGCATCAAAAGAGTGACCTGGGATGGTGCCTAGACCAAGGCTCTCAATATATTATTATCCAAGCTATGTGCCACTTTAAAACTGGTGCAATCTCTCTGTTAGCACCCTCCTCTGTATATTTAAATCTACATGTTTTTTCATCACACTATGATGCGTTTTAAAATCCTTTTTTGCAGAGGAGAAGTTTATGCAAGTAGCTATTTTCCATGTTACCGTTTCCTTATTCATAAAGATGATCTCATATCTGTCTTACTTGAATTTCTTGTTTATCCATTTTGATGAGTGGCTTAGACAAATATGCACCTGAGTCACATCATATTTATACCTCTAAAAAAAAAAAAGCCACTCTGATCAACAACAACAAAAAAGCAATGTTTGCTTAAATTAATCAGTTTTTATGACTAAATAAATTTAATAAAATTAAAGTTTGATTTTTTCCTTTCAGTGTTATGCTTCTATGATAAAAGACACATTAATTTTAAGGCCTTTTCCACACCTTTTTCTCAAGGGAGATGATATATAATTTTTACTGTAAATGTACTGCAGCAGTTTTGTTTTCAAATCTTGCCAACAGTCATGAGATTTGAAGACAAAGATGGACAACACTCATTACAGACTACAGACATGACTTTAGCTATTAGACGCTTCTCATCCATCTTTCTCTCAGAGACTCCTTTCAGTATCTTCCCACACTGAGGCAGAGGGAGCATTCTGATCACTGCTGCTCTATTTGTTTTGCCTTACAAAGACGTCTTCTTTTCTCCTGTATGCCCGGCTGCTGCTGTTGTTGTTACAGGTCCTGTGTGCAACTGGTGAAACGCAGCCGTTCACATGAGTCACAAAGGGCCCATGGGAAGAGCAGCTTATTGTCTGTTTTACTGTTAAGAACTGGTGCATAAAGGAGCGTCAGAATGCGAGCTGCTGGAGCAGAGAGTCTGGTTCATCAAAGGGACAACATGAAGCTTTGTTTTGCAGTTCAGTCTAAAAATACAAGCGTGAACAAGGATGGTGCAAAATAAAAACATGCAAAAACCAGTTATGCAAAGGTGTAGATAAAAGAAAGCTGCAACAGATTAACATTAATGGGTTTAGTCACTGGTTAAAGACAGAATAGCTACCGGTACTAGTAGCTAAGAGTTTTAAACTGAAAGATATTTGTTTGGTTCACTTGAAAAGAATCATGTCTTGCAAAACTAACACAAACAACTATAATTTCTAACAAAAAATAAATAAAAAATCTAAAAAAAGATATAAAATCTATTTAAACTTTTTTTTACTTCCTTTTTTGTACACTTCATGTTGTTTATTTTACAGTTATTGTAGTTATTTGTAGTTATTTGAGAGAAAAACACTTTGGTTTTAAAACAAAACTTAAATTATAATTTTACCTTAAATACAGTACATGGTACAGATGCTGTTATGAGCAAGAAATGCATGTAGATTTATGAAATAATGCTTTTTAAAAGTGTTTGCAGGATTTTAAAATTAATTAGCTTGGGTAGCAAACACATTAATGTTGTTATTTATTAGTTCTTTCTTTTCAGACTATTTTTTTACTACTTTAAAGTTGTTGCTATTTTCAAATTTTTTGTCTTTTTACTTATTTTGTTTAGTTTTTTTGTTATTTTGTTTTTTATACATGTATTTCTGTCTCCTGCCTAGATCTTTCAGAGCTTGTGATAGAAACCTTGCAAAGACAAATGTAGGTGATGCAAATCCATGTCTTTAAGCAGCCTGCCCAAGACAGAAGCAAACTAAGCACCTGCTTAGGGCATATACAGAAAGGGGTCTATAACAGTTGTTAACTTCAATCAAACACACTTAAAAACGATTAAGGCCTTATCATGCCGTATCAACAAAGGCTGTACTTTTTTTTAGCGTTATTTTTATTCATTTGATATGTTGATGTTAAATCAGATAAAAGCAAAAACATCATTACTGCCTTAAGATGTTCTTAAACTTAGCAGCAAATATATTTTTTTTCTTTCCTTTCAAAGAGGATATCTTTTTTTTTTTTAACCACTCCAATTACATTTCTTATAAATTCTTATTTTTTGTTAGCCTTTAGAAATTTACAAGATTTCTGAAGTACTAGAAACTGCTTATTATATGTCAATACTTATCCAACTCCTTAATAACAGCAAAGCAAAATAAAGAAAAGTGCAAATTACAGTATGGGGCATCTTGCGATGAGAGACTAAGAAGAGAGCATGTACATAAATGTATCATTCACAAAGGTTGAAGTGTCAAAAAGAGGATGGAAGCTGTTTTTTTTTTTTATTTTAGGTTAGTTGAGACATATAAAGACACTCTAAAATGCAAGATAGAGACTTCTGAACAGACTGAGAATGGAGGCACACAAAAGAGAGCGATAAAAGGAGTAAGGAAAGCTCTGAAAGAAAATTGGTGTGTGCAAACACTGATTTGTGGGAACGCTGTCAGAGAAAGTCGAACAGAAATGTATTTGCGGATGAAAGCAGACGGAGAGTAAGGCCAAAGCAAACCTGACAAAGGAGACACCAGATATCGCATCAAAACCAATGCAAACCCAAATCATTCAAATCTTTCACTTTGACTTTTTATCTTTTGAACTAAACACTCAACATGACACTTTTGCATTATGTGTATGCATTTTAAATGTGCTTATTCATCACCATTTACTAAGGTCATTTAGTCAGGTCAGGGATAATGCTAAAGTGGACCCCTGTAGATGTGGGAATGTGCCCTCAATGAAAAACAACTGTTTTGTTTTGGTTCGACGATCTCACTGACGAATGATGGCAGGAATGCTTGAGGCTGAAAGCACATCAATCACCGTGCACCAACTAAACTAAAAACAGTTGGCGGTAAGAAAACACAAAGGTTTTAAATTCAGCACCCTCGCTTTAATCATTTTTTATATCTTACATTTTCATTTCATGCTTTTACTGTTTATCTACCTCATCCTGTTTGATTTTAAAATGTAGCAAAAAAGCAACACATGGTATCATATTGCAGCTACTAAATTATTTATAGTAGAGCTAAAGTGCATTTACTAGTTTTACACATTGAATTTTAAGTTAATTAATTATTCAATGTACTGAATATTAGTTGTAAAACAAAACTTGCTGTCCTCATGATCCCAGTCTGTATGTCCCAATTGGAGGTAACTTGAAGCCAATTTCCGTGTCATTGCTTTGCATTGGAAATAGATTGCAGACACATTAGCATGCTATTTGCAGCATGCAGTGAACATAACTCATGCTACTAGAATTATAATTTCTATGTTGGCACATTTTGGCGTAAAGTGTTGAGACTGGATTTTGATTAACTACTAGTTTCAATTCTGATGACATAATACGATACGAGTGGAAGGTGTTCCAACAAGGACAAAACTTCAGACAGAATAGAAGGCAGAGATTTCTTCTTTGTCAACCTAAAGTTTGGTTTGTGTGTTGAAATCATCCATAGAGTGTTTTTAAATGTTTTTTTTTTCTGTCTATATTTCATTTAAGAATAAGAAACACAATGCAAGTTAAGCTTCTCTTAGTGCATTTATTTTTACTGTGTAGCTTATTTTCTAGAATGTAATTGTCAAAATACTCTGATTCCTCTGTTTCAATAAGGAGTTTGCATTTTGGGGCTCCTGAAGTGAAAGCAGCTGTTTGAACATCAACAGTGGCTCCTAATTACTTTTGCTGAAATAGAATACCAACTTTAACTTTAGATATAAATACAATAAAAAAGGAAGTAACATTTCAGTTTTTATTATAAAATCATTGCACTGAATTTACACAAGATAATACTAAAATTAAAATATTATTTTTATTTTGCCAATTTTTTCACCCATTAGGCAGGAAACTGTAAGGGATTTTTACCATAATTTTCCACAGATATCAATATTGCAGAAAAATGTGTGCTTCCACTTTTGCCAACGACATATTTTCTTTGTTTAAAACCCATCTGTATTTTTTTTTTTTTTTTTTTTTTTATAAATGACAATTTTCTTATAGTAGATTATTATCAAACAGTAAAAGTTCTTTTCTCTCTAAATGTCATAGAACATCTGTGGGTCTAAACAAGTTTCATTTAACGGGACTCATGGTACAAATTGGTCTTTGGATAATGAGGGATGCAGACCCCTGGTGTAGACTAAACATCCTCATGAATGATTTATGACTAGTGCAGGGTCTAAGTCCAGTACTAAAGAGCTGCCTTTCTGCAACTTTTAATGCATATCCTCTCTAACACGCCTAAACCAAATTAGTGGATTGTTATCAGGCCTCTATGGACCTGAATGACAGTTGATGAGGGAACAAAGCCTTTTGGCTGATTTTAAATTGTGAAAACTGTAGATCCAAGCTAAGAATCCTTTACTTTTCACTGGTTTGACAATAAGAACGCTATTGAGGATAGAAAAATAAACTTCTAAATCCAGACCACCTTTAAGCTTATGGACATCACATCATCACACGATGGACACCCACATGAATGATGCAAATCCAATCGGGACTACAGCCATTCAGAAAAAAAATGCAAAGAACAAAATCAAAGAATTTTAGTAAACAGCTCACACTCTACCCCAAAATATGAAGGTAAGGGCATTTGCATGTGACACAAAGAGAACAGGTGAAGAGCTAAAGTACTTTTGTTCAACTCTGAAAAGTCTTTAGCCTTGGCGGACATTCCAATGCAAACTGAGCTAATGATAGGAAGCATCCTGCTTCCTCTTCCTACCTCCTTCCTTACTGCCAGGACTTATCAGACATCCCTCAACATGACAACCACTGAAACCCTTTTGGTTTAGGGGATAGTGTCCTTACCAATTTTCCCAATTCGGATGGACCATCCTGATTCGGCTGTGCCTCAGAGAGGATTACTATAGTACAGAAACTCTCCGGGAAAGACGCACATGGACTAGCCTGATTTATTGTCATTTAGAGTCTGCTGGGTGCTACACTGCACACCGTTAACATTCATTTGAAAGGGATGTCTTATACACAATCCCAGCTGTAGGAAGATTTAATGCACAATGATATTGTAGCCGACCTAAATTACTGTGGCTTAATTTATGAGCTTGAAAATTCATATTTGTTCATTTCTATATTATTTCACCTTATTTCAATCTTTTCTCTAAATTTCAAATGCCACCTTAAATATAAACTCACATCAGGGATTGAAATCTAGTCATACTTAAAGATGTTTAAGGAACTGATTTGAGATCTGTTTTGTTCAAAGATTAGAATCTACACTAGTAACACATTGCTCATCATTTTTAATGCACCCAAACCCTAAGTGAACATTTTTACTACTAGGGTTTGTACAATATAAATGATTTAATGGGATACAAAAAGACAGAAAGCAAACTATCAGTTTATCAGAGCATGCCAGGAGCTATTTTTCAGCAAGAGGTCAAAGTTGATGGGAGAACAAGTATTTACTTTAAAGTAATTCAGAGGGGATTTCTTGGTTGTTGTTTTTTTTTATTTATTCTGCTTTTTATAAATGAAATGCAGAATTATAAAAACAGTTTATACAGGGTGAGATAATAGACTTGCCAGTTGCTATATTTTTTTTTTTAAACAGAGTTTAAATTAGCTGTGCAACAGTCAAAGTATATGCGGAAACCTTAAAACAAAACATGGATCTTAGTAAACGAAGCCTAAAACAAACGTACTGTCCTGAACCACGATAGGCTTCTAAGAACAAGTGTGTCTTCAAAAAGCATGGGCGCTAATCTACCAGAGGTTTGACTATGCAAAAACACTTTGATAGCACACACAAAGCTGATCTACCTACCAGGTGTGCATACAGTTTGTACCTCTAAATGTAATGTCTTAATGTAATTTATAAGAGTGTGTCCCTTCATAAATATACCTAACATATATTGGTGACCAGACTATGTAACACACTGAGAGGAATATATGCAAATGTGATGCAAAACTACCCATGAAACATTAAGCTATATCCTGTGAAGGGACGGGCAAAGGTCATTTCCTCTGTTGATGATTTTAGGGTAACTGTAGTCTTTGAAAAAAGACTGAAAACATTTATTTTTTCCAGGTTCAGTGTTTTACTTTTTTTTTTTTTTTTACCAGTACTTTGTGATACATAGATACCTCCCAATTCCATACGCTTAAACCAATCTGCTCTCCAAAAACTCCAGTAAACCAGTGAACACTTTTGCTCCTGTTATCAATTGTGCAGGCAATCTTAGTGGATAAAATGCAAAGCACCCACTAATTGCATATGCAATATTTTATTTCCAGTAGCGCTTTAGTGCTCCTTATGCGAGATCCTTGTGAATCAGTTCCTTGGTGTTATGGTTTTAAGTAATAAATAAAAAAATAAAAACAGTTTTTTTTTCTCAATAAAAAAAATCAAAAAAGATAACACTAGGAAAGAAAAGAAAAAATAATAATGACCAGAACTGAACAAAGACACAAATATAAACGAATAACTAAAAACCCAAATAATGAGGAACATAATGCATCATTACTCATTTACACTTCAGCAAGAAATGACGCACTGACCTTTTTTACCACGCTGTCCAAGCTATCCGGACTGCTGATGTCAAAGCAGATGAGCACAGCGTCCGAGTCGGGATACGCTAATGGCCGCACATTGTCATAGTAGGCTGAACCTGAGGGGTCAAAAAGACATTTCCAGATGGGTTATGTTTGGTTTTATTAGTCTAGTGGAAATTCAAGCAGTTGGACACTTTCAGAGGAACACATTTGATTAGATGAATCCAGTCACTCCAGGAGGGGACTATAACTGGATGTGATTTATTGCCTCTCAAACAGATGTGTGACAGGGATATAGTGAGCAGCTTGAACAATGTGTCACCTGGTATTTGGCACCTTTTTATACCAGTGGCCCAGACTGAATTGGCTTCTGTGACGGGGGCAAGGGGACACATTCCGATCCAGAGAGGACGACGTTCCCTTCGCATTTTTCCCCACTGACAGCACTAAGTGTCTTTGTTACCAAACTCATTGCTTTGTGAAGTCAACAAAAACATGTTCAGCAGAATGTCCCCATGGAACCCGACTGAAAGCAACTCCTACACAAAAATGTGAGTTTAAAGTTTCACTTGAAGCGACAGATTGATTTATGGTAAAATGACATTTGAATATTTGGATTCCATATGCAGATCTCTAGATTTCGTATTTCTTAAGAGAACTTATGTGCTTGTCTTTACCCTCATGTCTAGTTTGGTATAATTCATGTTTGTTAAATTAATTCTTAAATGTATGTATAAAGCCTCAAAAAACTATTGAACCCCACCTTCCAGAAACTTCAATGTTTTTAATTGGCCTTGGTAGGATTTTATTCGACAGTCTATCACAAAGTAGCTCATTATCGTGAAATAAATTAATTGATGAATAGTTTTCATAGGTTTTAGAGGGTAAACTCTATAAAAATTGGCATGCAATATCCTACTGCCCTTTTGGTCGAAGCAGAATAAAATTCTCCAATTTAAATTTAGTCCAACTGAACTCTGTAGAACTGTAGAAAGGATGCATAAGAAATGGAGCACAAACTGTAAAGTCATACAGTCAAAAGGAAAACATAACTAGTTTAAAAAAGGATTTAACAGACAACTAGAATAACAGAATCAGAGGAATGTAGACCACAAACTTGAACTTCCTGTTTTTCCCCCTCTGTTTTATTCTTTAAGTTGTTTGTGAATAAATCAGACATCCACATATCATAGAGCTCTAGCAGATCTAAGAAAGGTTCATCAACAATTAGGATGCATTAATCCTGGGGTGTCCAAAATTTGGCCCAGGGATTATTTGTGGGCCTCTGGGTAATATTAAGTGGTCCTTAATCACAACTCCATGCAGAAAGACCTCAGGCTTGGAATCGAACCCGGAAACCTTCTTACTGCAAGGCAGCAGAGCTAGCCACTGCTACACCATGGAGCTCTCAAAGGCAACATTTCAAAGGAAATGTTAGGGTGCATAGTACAGTTTTTTTTAATCAACCACGGTTAATTTTGGGGATTTATTTTCAATTATTTGACTGTAGATAGGAAAACAGAAATTCAAGGACTTGACCTGAAAAGCAAAGGTGAGATCCCCGATTTATCAAATTAAAACTAATCCATATAGATAACAACATAACCATAAAATCCAAAGACGGTCAACCTTAAATAATCATCTGCTGATCTTTTCTCTTTTAACTGGGTGAACCTGCAAGAGCCTTTTTATGTTTTGCATCTATAATAACCTCTTTTACGCATAAATTTGTTTGTTTTTAGAAAAATATTCCCTGTTTGTTGTTGAGCTTATCAACAAAAACAATTAATAAAGAAAACTGTTCAAAGTGCTTGTTCGCATTTCTGGGCCTCTTAGCAAGAGGTGCATTAATCAGTTCATGTTCTTTTTAAAGATTTCTAAAAAAAAAAAAATAAAAGTAGAGCATGATTTTTTTTCTGTTTAATAAAACAGTTGTTCTATTTTTCTTAACACATAGCATCACTAGTTCTCTCTACGTTCTGTGGAACATCAGCTAGAAAAAATAAAATCCTTTTGCTCAAAATCCTTTCAGACTTTTATCCCACAGTTACTGAGTTACTGAGTCAAAATTATAATGTTCCCTCTTCCCTCTGACTCATTAAAAGCCATTTTCTCCTCTGTGTTTTTGACAGTGTGATAAAATGCCCAGAGGTCTCTGTAGAGTCCCTTAAACACACACACACACGCAGTCCTGCTCCTTTATGGAGACTTTGCATTGATTTCCATTCATTTTACAATCAGTCGTGTTTCCTATACCAGGGCCTTACCCTAACCCCAGCCATAATAAACACATAACTAACCCTAAACTTAATTCACAGGCTAGTCTTAAACCAAACCTCCAACCAAGAAAGTTTTCCTTATGCCCTAGTAAGTTCCCAAAAAGTAGCATACTCATGGGAAATTGCTGCAGAAAAAAAGGGCCTAGGGAAAATTGGCCTATCACTAGGTAACAAATACAGAGGCTCTGGCAGCAGTAGTTTAGCTTCCCACTATCAGACCCACATCAGCTTTAATCAAACACAAGTAAATATTTTTTTTCTCATCATCTGTGCCTTTAAAAAATCTTTCTCAATTTGCTGCAAGTGTTTTCTTTTTGTTTTTTTCCAGAATCCTAGCCCTTTCCTTTCCTGCAGCAGTTTTCCGGTGGCACATATGTGGATCAAATAGGTAATAAAAATACAATGCAATAAAAAAAAAAGAAATCCAAACAGTGCAATCTTCGATGTATTATGGGATACACTCATCTGGGCAGAAGGATTGGACACTGCAAAAGAAGTAATCTGCAGAACTGCTGAGTTGGTATTTTTCCAATAAGTCCTAACCTATATAGGCCACAGCTAAGAAGAGAAATGTCTTCTATTCAGGTCTAACCATAAGAGCTTGTGCAGACTATTGCTCAACAACAAATAGTTTATTTTGTTTTGCACCTTAGAGGAAGATTATGAAACAGAGAGATCTAACTTATATCCTATTCATCACAGGATATTCACTTCAGTGATTCAGAAGGTGGATTTAATCGAACAATATGCTGTTGGAAGTTTATTGTCTATACATAAAGGAAAAAAATCATAAAAATAATGGCAGGAAGGGCTGTTTAAAAAAAACGATTAACAGTTAACATTATCTAGACTCAGACAAGATAATCTCTGTTGGAGAGATGAATTTCACCTGGTGATTAGTTAATCAGAAATGTGCAGAATTAAAGAAAGGCATAATCCCAAAAGAGCTTGAAATACTGAGGTTGAGCAAATCGCATGTGCAAACTTGTTTTCCTTTTAGAGACAATATCAGAAAGAACAGCAGAGTAAATTAAGAGTAAATGTTTTGCCTAGCATGTCAGCTGCAGGATTGTATTGGTTTTAAAATATCACTTACAGGCTATTAGGATGAAACATCCGAGACTGTTCACACGCTCATAAAGATACATCTGTATTCTCTTTTTGCTGACACATACAAGAAGTACCATATAGCAGATCTAGGCTTAGGAATATTATTCTTATTGACTAGAAAAGTGTTATATAAATTCAATCTATGCAGTATCTAACAGCAAGATTTACATTTACATCAAGCTTAGGGTATAATATATATATATATCTATCCATCCATCCATTTTCTGTCATGCTTAATCCCAGTGGGGTCGCGAGGGATGCTGGTGCCTATCTCCAGCTTTCTATGGGCAAGAGGCGGGGTACACCCTGGACAGGTCGCCAGTCCATTGCAGGGAGAAACAACCATTCACGCGCACACTCACACCTAAGGAGAATTTTAGAGAAGCCAATTATACACATATATATATATATATATATATATATATATATATATATATGTTGTCTATAAACGTTTTGCTGCAAAAATTCACAATCGAAGATTGTCCTGCAAAATAAAACGTTGATGACCAAGACTGGGGTCCCCCAAAACTTGTGGAAATGGACTTCAGGAATAGTTAAAATTCTGAATTTCTATGAGTCCGTCAAAAGAACTAGGCTACATCACTTGGTTTACAGGGTGCAGAGACCAGAAGGGTCATAGAAAAGGTAAATGGAGAGGATAAAGTAAAAAGGATTAAATGATAGGTGAATGAAGTGTGTTTTTTAAATATCCATTCAGAAATACAATCATAAAACAAATTTTCTAATTGCAGTATAAATTAATGAATACATCTTACAAGTCCTCTCTAATAATTAAATCTAAAATGTGCAATTGGAAGATTCTTTTCAAGCTGGATTTCTGATTGTATGATTTAAATGTTCAATTTGGATGTTTTTCTTTTTTAGTGACTGGATAATATTGACTGATCTGGTGGGAGCTAGTCTGTTACCTGCTAACTGTTAAGAAGCCATCTATGCCACATGCTGTGGTGTGTCATGTGAGCAGTTTAGCCTATTTGATTAAGTAGGCTATGCACATCAAGCACTAGAGCAGCTGGAAGTATTGGCTTAAATAATCATAGAAAGTCACAACATTTTCAGGCTTTTTTTGTCTGTTTTCAGTCAAACAAATAAAAAAATTGGACCTGAAGCCCTAAAGATCCAATAACAGTTGAGCTTTTGTTATTGAGCTTTGCACATCTATCTTTCTTTATTCTGTCTCAATTTCTATCTGACTTCCAATATAAGCTGCGTGCTTTATTTGAATAACACATTTTAACTGTAAATTAAAAGTTTGTTTATTCTAGTGAAATTCTGTGAATTTCCTTTTTTACACATTTAGAAAATGTCATAATTTTTGTATATATATACATATTCACATTAACGTATGAATACATTTCAATAAATATATCAAGTTAGTTACCAGAGATGCAGTATAGTAAACAAGACACATTTAGTGTTTATATTGTGGTTCAGCCTCAGTTCCTGAGGTATAATTTGATAACGGGTTCGACTTGTCATCAATGAATAAATTCACATAAGCTCAGTGGGAGTGAGTGCCTCTGGGTTCCATGGTGTCTTCTAAGCCTTGTTCAGGGATGGAGGTGCAGCTAATGTGTATTGATCGGGGATCCTTTCTGAAATCCTCTAGCTGTAGTTTGATGCCCCTCCAGGGAGGATTCCTGCTGTTTTAGCACGGTCAGTCCATCTGTCTCTGTCTAAAACTCTCTGATCAAATTCATAAAGAC